ATTTGAGGGTAGTCGTCGACATATAATAGCTTTCGATTTAATATTATAAAAAGCGATCATGTGCAACATTGTACATGCTTTAATAAATTGTGCAACCGAGTCTTTTAAATTTTTTAAATATATATGTCCCTATAAATATTTTTATTTACTTTTAGTTTAGTTTCACCATTCTGAACATACCTCATTTGACTCAAAGAAGCAGTTTCAATGGCGATTTAATAAAGACGCTCTTGTTTGGTTTCTTTAAAAGGATTACCGGTAATACTACTTTGTTTTTGTTAAGGGTCACAATATTTAGTTCGGTTGCTTGGATTAACGATTTTTTTACCTGTAGCAAAAGCCTCTAGACCGTAGATTAGAATCCGCTAGAAATGATTTCCCTCAACCCTAATGATAAAACATCATATTCTTTTAAGTATCCTTTAATAATTATGCCTATGCTTTGCGTCTGAAACAGGGAATAGTATTTTATGTAAATCGTACGAGTCGCGTAATATCGCGTAATATCGAGCGGATATCACTTGTTTTAAACGGAACAGTTTTAACGGTTTAAAGCGCGAATTATATTAATTAGGCCTAATTCTACATCTGGCCAGATGTAGGCGGTCTCGAAACGTCGCACTACAGTTAAGTTAAATTTTGAAGGAATTTAAATTATAAATTTCGCATTTTAGGCCGTTAAAGTGTTTTATTTAAAAGCGTAGTACTCGCGTAAACTACAGACAATACTTACATATAACTTGAGCTTACCTCAATGTTGTTTAAGGCGGTACTTGTAGTTTACATCACCTGTGCTAACCTATTTAAAAACAATACATTCCACATATTCTTCTGGGTTTTAAAAATGCATTATATTTTATCTGCTGGCTGGCACTCGGCCAGTCGGTAATACTTTTGAGAGTTGATGCGATTTCAACTCGCTAGGGATGCCTTCCCTCGTGTTTTATTTTTGATTCAGGCTTGTAATTCTAATTTTAGTATCTCGCAGTCAATCTTAATGACGTCTTAACTGCATTTACCAACAGAGGTCAGTGACAGTTGACCATTACTTTGCGCCATAATTTTGCTTTATTGAACCACTTCAGCTTAGGGGAAACTAAGTCTAAGATATGACGGCTCTCTCCTATATTAGTAAGTTCCTACTACAGATATTTGATTGGTAGTGTCACACTCAACACGCAAGCACGCATAAATATAAGATAGATTCAACATAGAACTAAAAGTTTCTTATATGATTATAAAATATATTTTTTTCTTAATAAATATTATTATACTATACCATTCTTAGGGTAAAATTACATAATGCAACGAACTACTCTAGGAGAAGGAGGAGAATAGAGTTCGACTCGGTAGAGGAATCTCCTTTTTTTGTACATAAAACACACTTCATATTTTTTTTATTTAGGATTATAGTATATGTAGTGGTTAGCCATTATATCACATCCATACTTAATATTTTAAAGCTGAAGAGTTTGTTTGTTTGTTTAACCCTGCTAATCTCAAGAACTACTAGTTCGAAATGATTTTTTTTTTGTGTTGAGTAGACTTTTATCGAGGAAGGCTATATAACATCATGCTGTGACCAATACGAGCCAAGAAACAGTAGAAAATGTAACATGGAAAATTAACCACTTTAAGGGCTTCCGTTCCGCTGCCAAAGCGGTTCAAGAAACTAAAAGATATGTATGAATTAATGATTCCTCTGAGACAGGCCTGGAACTCGCAAGAACAACGAGACGAGACTAGATAATATAAGATGTCGTCAACAGCTAGAATTTATAAAGCTGTGGAGATTGATTGCTGAAATTCAAAAATGTACGCTCAAAATTAGTTTTTAGGCGCAGTTACTACTTTATATTTGTACAGATTAATTATAACGTTACGTAACGTTTATTAACAATTATTAAACGTTACCTCAATTTAGATACAATGAAACCAAGGACCACATAGCGCAAATAATCGACATGTTCCAGTTAAAAATAAAATTCCAATATTTCAATACGCCCGTGTTTCGTACAACGTAATATTTTACGAGTGACCCTTCAGTCGTGTGCGGATATTACTGGCTCCTACTTTAAATATCCATCTCTATGGGAATCTATCGACAAAGGTTTTTCCAACGGAAAGAGTCAGGAATAAATTGACAGATAGACCCCATCGGTCTTGGGATGAATACATTTATTAAACGTCAATCACACACTGTACTTATAAATGTGAAAATATTTGAAGATGAATAAGAAATTCTAAAAAGTAAAAACTTTAAATTATTACCATAAGAAAAGAAACACTTAACGGTTGAAAAAAGGAACTCATTATTTAACTATACTACTAAATAAGTCCGTCTCTGTAGCCAAATGGTTAATGGTATTGCTTAGCATTGCGTTAAGCACGAGAGGAGGTCCTGGGTTCGAATCCCAGAGAAAGAAAAAATTGTTTCGATAAGGCAGGGCAAGGAATTCTGATCAACTATTAACTTGCCTGTTAAAGAACCGATCAGTCACACAGACACAGAAATGTGTTCACCCCATGCCCTACGAGGGGGAAACGGGATTTAACACACACTAAATAAGTTAGTACTAATTAGTTAACTTATTGACTAAATGGCCGTGTTCGTAGCTTAATGGTTAAACGTACCTATTGCACAGCATTGTTTTAAGCTTTAGGGTTTGAATCCCGGGGAAATAGACTGAAGTATGTTCAACTACTGGCCTATAACGGAAAACCAACCAGTGAAACGAAAATAGAAATGTGTCCGCCACGGGTTTTTAATATTTTATTTCGTAAATAAGTTACGCGATATATTTCGCGTCTTAAACCGTAAGAAGTGTACTACTGACGTAAACTACAAACTATAAACGTAAACCTAAGTCGAGAAATGCATAAAAAGTATTTGCAATGCAAGAAATATTTAATTTTCTTGTCATGAAAATCGGCTAGCATACACGCCCGGCTACATAGTTATATGTTTTATAAAATATTTGCCCGGTATAATGCACAAATTAATATTGGATACGTTATCAATCTGTTAAAAATGTTTGAATACATTTTAGTTGATAAAACGTTTAAAATTTGATGGTATAATAATCCAGGCATTGTTAAAAATTTATGTGATTTGTGACATACTACTAACAATTTTAGTGAATTTCAAAAATAAATGATGTGTGCTTTCTGTTTAGTATATATATGTTATTATGGACTATTAGTCTATATTAACGTCGATTTTAATCATACTTTAACTCTACACCACATGTAGAAGAAACGGGAACGTACTCAGTTATATTTAATTACAGTGTCACGAATCGAAATTGATTGTTGAGAATTTAAGCGGAGCGGTGCAGAAAAACTGTTGAAAATGAATTTCCACGTTCTAGTTTTTGAGGTGTTCGAGTTTTTCAAGTCTTTTGTTGAACTTTGAAATTTTTGTACAGACTACAGGTGAAATTTCGTAGTGAAAAGTTATTTTATAACAAGCCAAGTTCCATTATTATGTTGGACTGCTGTGCAATTTGGTGATTCAATTTTAACAGTATTGTTGTCAATTTATATCGCAGTCTTTATATAATCCTGGCTTTAATAGAAATATTTAGATACCATTTAAAAAGATTTGTGTTTATTAAAGCAACTGTGTTAAAGCTTAGATGTACAAACTTATGCTTATTAAAACGCTTAGACTAAATCCTAAACTATTCTGTGCTAATTAAAAGAGGGAGTAACAAGACGTGATAACTAGGATCTATTAAAAGGTTAATACTGGTATTAAACAATGGTTAATAATGCAAAGCAACTGGCTTATTAAATGCAAGTAATAGTGTTGATTGAAGGTATTGTTAAGATATTTTAATTAAAAAATGTAGGAGATCATTCATGGCGAATGATTAGTATGGATCATGGGATTTAAATAAAACATTTTAACGGTTTAAAACGCGATATATTCGTTTGTAGTTTAAAACGCAATATATTAGTTGTGTAGTTTAAAACGCTATATATTATTTGTGTAGTTTAAAACGCGATATATTAGCCGTGGTCACGAGGAGACTCCCCGTGACCACGGCTGCTGCAAAGCATCTGAAACGTCGGGCCGAAGTTAAAAATCATTTCCAAATAAGTTTAACTAATATATCGCGTTTTAAACCGTTAAAGTGTTTTATTTAAATGTGTACTACTCGCGTAAACTATAGACAGTATGGATCATGGGATTTTGATTTGGCATGATTGAAGATATTTTTATAATCTTCTATACAATAAAGTAAATATGTTGATGCCATGAACTACTGTAGTGATGGAAAAGACGTAAAAAAATAACGTTTTGGTTTCTGTATGTAGATATACAAAAGTACAAACTAGGTCTACAACGATGGAATATAGAGGATGGATTTGTACAAGCCAAAGTTTCTCTGTCTTTGTCTGACAGAAAAAAATATAAAACCTTCAAAAAACTAGTAAATATACTTCAAAAGTAGAAACGAGATTTTAGGTTAATGAATTTTAACTACGACCCGACTTTTCAGTGCTTTTCAGCAGCTGTGGTCACGGAAGGTACTTCATCAATTTACCTCCGTAATTAGTAACTACAATTTTTAATATACACAAATTTGTTTGTATTAATGTTTGTGTTTGTATTTACTAACTTTTCAGCGAACAGTTGATTGAAGTCTTACAAATAGCTTTTATTTTTAAATCAAACATTTGTTTTATACAGCTGTAGTACTGTAGTTTCCCTTCCCTTCCCTCCGGACCTCTCAAGTGTGCAGTCGTGTCTTGTGTTAAAATTATTTATTTCGTTAATTTGATTTAATAAATTCGGGTTTTTGAAAGTGCGTGTACCAGGATCACAGAAGCTACGGCGAGATTGCGAGGGGTCAACTTAAGCTGGTTATACGTAAAGTTAGTACCAAAACGTCGATCGCGTCCAGTTTAGTGTGACCTATCTACTGTTGCATTAATTACCTTCGCTTCGGTTCTGCTCCCCTGGTACTTGTCGACGAAAAACCATTCTCGAAATGCCGCTTAAACGCACTCCCCCCTCTACCCCCACAATTAAAGTGATGGATACGGATACCCCCGTGCCGACCCCTACTACATCTGAATCTGAAATAACTTTCCCGTTTTTGCGGCAAAATTTGCATCACTGCACGTCGGAGCCTACTTTGGCCAGAAAGACTTCGACATCTGCGCGTAAGCGCAAACACGCGGATTGTGACGATGACAAATTGTCTCTGTTTATGGCGGAATTGAAGGATATGATAAAGGAACAGAACAACCGCTTGGATAAGGTCTGTTCAACGGTTGAAGATATGCGTGCTTCGTTCGAATTCCTGGCCGAAAAATACGAAGTAATGTTAAATAGGATCAACACATTAGAATCTGACCGTCTGGCCGATGCCAAATATATCAAATCTTTAGAGTCCAAATTGGAGAGTTCTGAACGTAGTGCGAGAGCGAGCTGTTTGGAGATTAGAAATATTCCTAAACAACCCACGGAAAACAAGGTTTCCTTACTGGACACGTTTGTTAAAACCGCCCAAGTTCTGAAGGTACATGTGGAGCGGCATGAGGTCAAAGATATTTTTCGGGTAAAATCTAAGGATCTCCAATCGACAACAGTCATTGTGGATTTAACTAGTTGCCTCTTGAAAGAAAAAATTATTAAATCTTTTCGTAGCTTTAATAAGGGGTCATCTAAACTGAGTACGGAGCATATAAATATAAAAGGAGATACGAGGAGAATATTTGTATCTGAAAATCTCACTGCAAGCATGAAGCGGCTTTTCTTTTTGAGTAGAGAGCTTGCAAAATCCATAAATTTTAAATTCTGTTGGACCTCTCACGGAAAAATATTCATGCGTAAAAAGGAAAATAGTCCTCTACTTCAGATATACAGCGAAGCGGATATCAATAAAGTGAGAGAAGACAATAAGTGACTAGCTATGGTTTCAAGTATCCAACTATTAGTATTAATTATTAATATTAGTTTTCTTTATGTTAAAATTTTAGTTATGTTCTCTAAATATTTAATTCAACACATAAAACTCATATCTTCACACTTACACACACCAAATCCCTCATATTCAAAAACTATTAATAGACCTCCCATGCTCTGGTTGTTCAGGCTCTTATTTATTTCTATAAATCTGTATCATGTTTTTACACATAACTTAATACCATGCTACCAGCCTCTGCTTTCTGACCGTTCGGCGGGTTGGACGGTTCGATGGTGGGTCGCGGGGCCCTCAGGCACATCTAGTTTTGTCTTACAAGCCTTATATACTTATATTTATATAAGCTACATTAATAAACGTGTTATCATAGATCCCAAGTTAATTACATATGTAAAATATGGATGATCGTATAATTATTAATAATGAAATTGAAGACATAACAGTGTCAAATTTCTATCTCTCATCCCCAGAGGAGAGTGGTAGATTCATTAATAGCAAACATGTTAATCTTAAAATATTGCATGTCAATATTAGAAGCGTTATGTGTAACATTAAGCAGTTAGAAATTTTTCTCAGTCGACTCAATTATCAACTGGACATTATTATATTAACCGAATGCTGGCTGAGTAAATGTCCTTATACCCCTTATCTAGCCGGTTATAATTCACATCGAACAAATTATTCTAATCAAAATGATGGTATTATCACTTTTATCAGGCAGAGTATCGACTGTAAAGTATTTCTTCCAGAATTTAGAGATGCTAATTGTATTACTATTGAGTTCTCGGACAAACTTGCCATTATTGCCCTGTATCGCTCCCCGTCAATTCAAAATCTTGAAACATTTTTTAAAAATTTAGATATAATTTTAAATTATTTTAAAGCTTATAAAACATTGGTGCTTGCAGGTGATATTAATATAAATATTGCACCTAACAACACGTCTGATAACAACGCTGAAGAATATTTAAATCTTCTTGCATCTCATGCCATGCTCCCAGCTTATTTTCATCCAACTCGCAAAAATAATTGTATAGATCATGTCATGCTTAGAACGCTACAAAAAGCAACTACTATAATCTTTGACTCTCAGTTTACCGATCATGCTCCAGTCTTGTGCTGTATACCGACACTTAAGAAAATAGATAAGAATTCACATATTAGTACTATCAAGCGGATCGATCTCCCTGCTGTTGTTGATGCATTAGAAAAGACAGATCTCTCCTTGGTATTAAATATCTCTGATCCTGAAACTGCAGCGTTCAAAATTGTGAGCATTATCACTTCTATCCTAGATAAATTTACAGTAATCAAGCGCACTCCTAGTAAACATCGAATTATTAAACCTTGGATCACCCCGGGACTTCTGCGTTGTATTAGACATAGGGATAAACTGTATCGCACTCTCCGTAAAGATCCGACTAATGATGCTAACCGTACAATATATATACGATATCGTAATCACTGTAATCGTCTTCTAAAAAAGGTTAAAATTGTATATGAGAGGTCGGAATTCGAGAAGGTCAGAAACGATAGTAGGGCAGCATGGAAATTTATTAGGCAAAAGGCCAATATGAATAACAAAAAATCATCTTCCAGTCAACTCTTGGAGGGACTGGATGATCATGACCAATCTGTTAATGCAGTCAATGACTATTTTTCCAATATAGGCAAAGATCTAGCTTCAAAATTATTAATATCTACCCCTTATCCTCCCATACTGACTAATCAAAATATAGTTTCGAACACTTTACACCCATCAAACTCCATGGTGCTTTTACCTATTGAAAGTGAGGAGATACACACCATTATCTCCAATATGAAGGAAAATTGTGCAGTTGGATGGGATGGCATTCCTTCAGCTTTACTTAAATCTTGTAGACATATTCTAGTTCCAGTTCTAACACACATTTTTAACTTATCTATAGACACGGGCGTATTTCCTAAAGCTTTTAAAGTAGCGGTTGTCCATCCAATTTATAAAAATGGTGATTCAAAAGTGATTTCCAATTACAGGCCTATATCTGTCTTATCTGCTGTTTCTAAAATTTTTGAGAAGATATTAAATAAAAAACTAGTTAATTATTTAGAGGTTAATAATATCATATCAACGTATCAATTTGGTTTTCGTAAAGGTTTATCAGCAGAAGACGCCGTACTAGAATTAACAAACACCATTGTTAATCATTTAGATGCTAAACAGAAAACAGCTGGAATATTTTTAGACCTTTGTAAAGCTTTTGACACAGTTTCAATTCCTCTTCTAGTACAAAAACTTGAACGTGTCGGGATAAGAGGCACTGCCCTGGACATCTTTAAGAGTTATTTAAATAACCGGTCCCAGTGTGTTATTATTAATTCAGTCAAAAGTAAACTTGCAAACATAACCTTTGGTGTGCCTCAGGGCAGTATTCTCGGACCAACTCTCTTTTTTGATCTACATAAATAAATTATGCAACTTAAATATCCCAAATTGTAAGCTTATTTCATACGCGGACGACACAGCTTTAATTGTGCATGGAAATACTTGGGAAGATGTACTAAATAATGGTGAACTGGGGCTGAATTCTATCATGTATTGGCTAAAATCCAACATATTAACGCTTAACATCCCCAAAAGCAAATGTGTTGCTTTTGCCCCTAGACAATCCTCATTGCCACAACCCTCATTGAATATGTTTGTTCATACATGTTCAGGAAATTACAACCTCTGTGATTGTCCAACTTTGGAATGCCCGGAATCCGTTCGATACTTAGGTGTCATCTTAGACCCAACTTTATCATGGAAGTGTCACATTGATGCTTTGTGTTCGAAGGTTAGAAAACTGATGTACGTTTTTAAAAATGTTAGATCAATCGCAGATTTTAAATACCTTAAAATAGTCTATTACGCTCTTGTACAATCAATATGCTCTTATGGTATAACGTCCTGGGGGGGTGCAAATAAAACATTAATGATAAGACTGGAGAGAGCGCAACGTGCCGTCCTTAAAACTCTTATACACAAACCGATACGCTATCCCACAAAAGACCTTTACAAAGAATGTGAAGTTCTCACAGTCCGGCAACTCTTTATCCTAAAAACTATATTAAAAAAACATTCTGGGCTCACGTTTGACCAACATATCGTAAATTCCAAACGCAGCGTTCATCCAGTCTGTCGCTCTTTCCGTCACAAGTCAGCAATTGCTTCCCGACACTTCTCATTTATGTCCTCTTGGTTGTATAATAAAATTAATTCTATATTGAATATCTATCCATTGACACTAACTAAATGTAAGAAAAAAGCTACAAAATGGCTTCTGTCACAATCTTATGAACAAACCGAAAGTCTCTTGAGGGTCTATCAATAAGTATTTCTATGAAATACTCACACACGCACACACACACACACGCACACACACACACACACACACACACACACAACACTCGCTCAAAAATAATATCCTTTTAAGCAAACAGATTGTTTTACACTAACTTCCTTTAATTGTACCAAATAGTAATTTAGAAGAATGTCAATAGTAAATAGTAATAGTAATTAGTTTAACTTATCTTATCATACGGAGGTGGGCGCTGGCTCCTGTGCCACAGCTTTACAGCTACTTCAGGCGCCATCGAAATACTCAATTTGTAAATAGGTTTTAAGCTAAGCTAAATAAAGTTATTAAATAAAGTTATTAAAGTTATTAAAGTTCCGGAGACAGGAAAACTGTACATGTTAAAACATTTAATTGTATTTAGTTTTACTGTCTATAAAATGGCATTTTGTGCTTGATAATTTCCTGCTAATTATTGCTACTTTTTAAAGCTCTGTAAGGATGCCCAAAATAGAGTAATTTTGGGCATTGGACGAAGCACGCCCAGTAATGGTATCGAAGCGTGCCAAGCCAAAGCAAACATGTCTTACAAACGACTGTGATTTTTGTTTGGTTCAGAGCCAAATTCCTTTTGAATAATAATATCTTACCGCTTACCTATCTATCATTTCTGTTTCGATACATATTTTTGGTCTAGAACAAATTATTGAATATTTAACTTGAAAATGTATAGAAAACAGTAGTTCCTAATTACAGAGATAAATCGATTAAGTACCTTCTGTGACCACAGCTGCTGAAAATTACGTAAACGTCGGGTCGTAGTTAAAATTCATTAATCTAAAATCGTGTTCTTACTTTTAACGTACTTTTCCTAGTTTTATGAAGGCTTTGTTTTTTTATCAAACGAGGAAAGGCAAACCGAATTATAAAATTCCACAACATAATCCAACATGTAACTTTACACATACTGAGAAAGTATTTTTGCTGTACCTACTGAGGCCCCATCGTATTTACAGCTGTATGTGTAGTAGACGTATTAATGTATGTATCTCGTTCCATATGGATTTAAAGGCCATTTTTTCCAGACCTTTATTTATTTGCGTAAATGTTTGTCTTGTAATTCGTGGCTGCATGTTGAACTTAGTGGTAGCATAGCTTTGGGCTTGGCAAAATATAGAAGCTTGACTTGCCCCAGTATTCGAATTACTTGTCTCTACATAATAGTGATGTTACACCTGACAATGAAATGTGCAGCCACGCCATGTACCACGGAAATGGGGTTTAACACATACGTGTATTCGTCTAGGAAAAGTTTGACAGCTCCGAATTAATTACAACAATTACACTGACAATCCGGGAATCGAGAATTCGCTAATTAAGATAAATCGACCTTCAACGAGTCTCAGTCAAGTTGACAAAGTGGGTCATTATTTTATTAGAGACGAGTTATACTCGATCCGTTACTGAACTCACGTACAGGAGTAGTATGCGGTGATATTTTGTGGTCCTTCCACTTAAGAGAATACATAGCTTTGCGTAGTTTTTTGCTTAAAAAAGCAAAACAATATGAAACACGTTAAAACTATATAAGTATGCTACTTTTATTAGTAGCGATCTAAATATCGGGCGGTACTATTCACGAATAAAGGTCACGTTTCGACCCGTTTAAAGTTGGTTAATTATAATGAACTTCTTGAACCTCTATTCCATAAACACGTATTCGTATAACGACGAGTATTTAGGTACGTTAGTGAATCGTTAATTTCTATAACCTTAAATACGACGTGCTAAAAAGCCAATTAATGTGTACTAAGTACAATGCGCAAGAGAAAAAATATGTTTTTTTCAAGTAGACCGCATACGAACTCATTTAAGTAGTTATCTAGGTACTTATTTCAGCATATCATTGTTTCTTACATGGAGGCACTATATAATTTAAAAATCTAAAATTTTTTTTAATTTTTTTTTTATATTCGGGCTGGACTTGACCGGCCGATGTGAGCTGAGAAGACAATTGATAGAGCGGTGAACGAGTGGCCGTGGTTTAAAGTCCTTACCGAGTCAATTTATTTAGGTACTTATTGTTAACTTATTCGGTCTTAGTGAATTACATACTTTTGCTTTTTTTATTTCTATACTAATCAAATTTTTTTTATTTATTTTAATCTCAATACTGTTTATATATATGAATTAAGACACATACCTATTTTTTTTGGTAGCAACCTATTGCTAATAATCACTGGGTCGTTGGTTTGATTCTCATCGGCTCTAACAAATTTCTGATTTTATTTTTTTTATTTATATTTTTTCTGAAATATAAAAATGATGATATTAAAAGCGTTGTAGAAATATCACCGCCACAGACGAAGAAGCCGTCAACTTAATCGCGTTTAGATTTCAGTCTGTGGCTGTGGTATTTCACCTACGATTAAGTGAACCCCAGGCCTTGTCTATCCTCCTGTATAATTATGCATTTCCCTTATTACACGTAGCGACATAGTGTTACTGTGATAGTTAAAAAAACCTAACGATCCCATCAAAATGTAGTTACAAGCATAAAAGGAAATTACATTCACCAAAATGGCCGCCATCATCACAATCCCACTAACATTATTAGACCCTAATCGCTGTCCAGCGAGGGCGAGCGCTTTCCCACGCCCGTCAAACTGACAGACAATCTATTTACAAAATAAACATTTACGCCATTGATCTAACAAAACATGGATTTGATCTTTCTGTGATGGTCTGTCCTTAAGTGTCCATTAATATTATAAACTATATGTGTCCACGACTTCGTCCACGTAGATTAGTTAATTTGAGCATCTAATTTTGTTTTCGCAAACCACTTCCACATATTTAAAAATTACAGCTGTTACCTTACCCACGACGTCGTTTGCGTCCCATCGTTCTTGCAAGTTTATCTTAAAAAATTGACATTTATTAAAATTTGTTCAAGAAAAAAGTTGTAGAAATTTTATCATCCATAAATTTTTTTTTCAATTCTTGTTTAATCTCTAACCTATCTTTGTCTCTTATGTAAAAATTTCTTTGTTTAATCTTTATTTAATATATTAGTTAAACTTGTACATTTTTAGATACATAAGTAGTAATAATCTTATTCGAAATAGATCTTGTAAGTTTAATTATGAAATTTTTTTTATTGCTTTCGTAGCGCAGACAACGCATGTTCCGTTGAATCCCAATCAGTAGTTCCTGAGATTAGCGCGTTCGAACAAACAAACTCTTCAGCTTTTATATATTAGTAAAAAAAAGTGAAGGCCCGTTACCCCATCGTGGGCCATGGGGCGAACACATTTCCGTGTCCGTTTCAATAGAATAAAAATAACATCTTACAACAGTGCAACCCTAAGAAATATTCGTACTAGACGATTTTCAATTACATTTTTATAGAGCCTAATACGAAGACCATAAAGCCTATATTAGTCTAAATGATATTGATTTGGCTCGAAGCCAGGTTGAAGAAAAAGACGTCTTTTACATCTATCGAAAATGAGTTTTCCTGTTTTTCGTGAGTGAAATAAGTTCATACTATATCAATTATGCCGTGTATAATTTTGTCGTGTTAGTAAACATATAAAGGAAAGTATTTTAAATAATGAAATTATTAAATATCAGACATTGTTCTTTTTATATCAGAAATAACAACCTCGAAAACACCTATTTTGACTTTGGACATTCGGCTAAAGCCAAAGCAGGTCTTCAGCATCTTGTTTCGTCGTCATATGCGTGGGGTTACTTTCCATGCAAGGAATCCCATGCTTGGCCTCCTCTGCTGAACCCATTAAATTAATATAAATAATTAATGTTTGTAATTAATTATTTATTGTATTTAATAAAATACCCAGCCTATATACAATATGACTATTTAGAATTATATATGTTCGATTTGTGGCATATTAGAAAAGTGACTTGAATTTTTATGTCCCAGTCAAAAGACTTTTATGAAAGAAGTTGGTAGCTAGAGTATGAGTATGTTTTTAATGTCTATTAAGCTAAGAAAAATTATTTTAAGCCCCTTATGCTTTAACGACCCAAAATTCCTAACAATACATTAACACCTTAATGTTTGGTATCATTAACGAGATGCAAAGCGTAAATATCAAAAGAAACTCTACAATATTTCCATTTCTTGAGAAATTCGGATGAATACGAGGCTTTGTCGACCTTAAAATTATGCCATTCCTACCTGATTCGGAGAAACGATGTTTATTTTATTTATTCTACTTCAAAATTGTTGGGAATTTGTGTTCATCTTATAATCCAGCGAAAACAGAGATACTCAACAAAAAGTCCTATCCTCAGATAATTTTTAAAATGCAAACGTTTTTAAGATGGTTCGAATGTATTTTTAAATCTGCTTTCTTTATTTTGATCGTGTATCAGATAAGAATATATATTTGAAAACTTTACTATTCTCATCACATGTTGTTGTTTTTGTTGTTTGATTATATAAAAAAAAATATTTTTGAATGAAAAAGTTGATTAATTTGAGATTGGTTAGAGCAACGGAACGCAGCGGATGTCGGTTCAAGTTCTGCTCATGTCGTAAAAATTTTAATTCAAAATCGATTTTGAATTTAAAATATGTATAATGCTTAAGTACTAGCGAGCTAAGGTATCTACTACTATTACCTACACATTAACTCAAAAATAGAAGAAGTAAATCTTCTCCTCATAATATGTTTTTAGAAGGTATATACGACTCTGTAGCTCAATTGGTAGATCAACAGCACGGAACGTGACGATGCCGGTTCAAGTCCTACCCGAGTCGGAAATTTTTTCAATTTATTTTCGATTTTTAAATTAAAAAGTATATACGAGTATATGGTGTTATTTCTGAATAAACAAATTTCTATTTTATTCTACTCTTTAACAAATGGAATATACAAACATGCGTGAAATAGACATACACATAATGGATGCAAAATATGTTATTAGTTTTTTAATAAATAAATTAAATAATATTGGCAATTCGCAGTTTTATCTCAATAATTTTAATAAACCGAATGTATTGAATACTAATATGTGTATATACGTGTTGTTTCAGAAAAGATCGGAGGTTGCAAAAAAACATTTCGGAATCAAGGTATGTAAAAAAGCTAAAGAAAGTTCATTAAATTAATAATACTTGGTAATTGATTACTTAAGAAAACTTGTCTACAATTCCAATAACACAATGAAGTTAGGAGATTACTATTATATTAGGTTGAGATATATTATTGTTAAAATGATTACATGACAAAAACAACAATTTAAAAAAAATAATTAGGCTCCTTATGACGTTTATTATTAAAGCTATATAGGTCAACAACCTCTCATTGTCAAACCAATTAATTTGTGGACAGTCCTAAATAAGGCTTGAGACAGACTATTCCAATTAAAACCGTTTTTATTAAGTATGTTTAACTACTTAAATATCGACCATGGTTGTTTTATTTTTCAAGTTGAAAAAGTATCAAAGTGTTTTAAAATGGTGGCACAAATCTACGACAAATTAAGCTAGCCGAATCGTCGTATTTTGGTATTGCACCCGATCATAGACTTTATTTACTATTAATTGAATCTTTGTTTACATTACTTA